CTCTATTCTACAAGTCACTTAATTCACTGCGATTTTAACCAGCCTAAGGACATCAATCAGTGCCTGGCTCTCGCGTTTCAACTGGTCTGATAGGCCTGGACAACGCACCGGCACAACTCCCAGGCTTCTATTGACGAAGCAGACCTCCAACGGAATTGAATTCTGGTATTTGCTGCCTAATGCGAATCCCGATTACCTTCGACTACGATCTCGTCAATCGGGATAGTACAATGCAATTGAAAGCCCCGTCGAGCAGACTGACTCTGTGTCCATACCGACCTTGGAAGTGCCGGTCACATGATAAATCGCGCAAGTTGGATTAAGAAGAGTACTCAGCCAAGAGCATGCTGCACAAGAGCTTAACTTCAGAACTCGCCTATATTCTTTTGCCATTCAGGGATACAGCATGGAAGTATTTGTCGTTGTCAACAACCGTTTGTCACTACAAGCCGGCAAGCTAAGGACAATCAAGTTTTCCTATCCACAGCGTTGAGGGCAACACGATGGATCGCGGACGATAAGGTCAAGTGAACGAGATCGGGGGATGATACAGACCTGTCAGTCGAGTGAGACGGGAAACCCTGAAGCGTGTATCAAGCTTAGATTTTCAACGGTGTCCCTTCCTCATGCTTTGCCACATGTATTGGTATCACGTACAGAGCTCCGCGTAAGCCGTAAGCGGAATCCCTACAGTCGGTTCTGGCCAGTAGTTGCCCGAATTTTTTAGGTTTGCGGGGGATGAGCCTGTTTCACTGCATTCTTAACTCGCCCAAAGGGCCTCATAATCAATCTGTCTCATGCCCTTGGGCCTCATACATTGACGAAGTAGTTTGAAGGCTTAAGATGCCGAGATCATGCGCTTATGCAACTTGTGTTGATCTTGAAATCAAGACGAAAAGATCAAAACAATGTGAAAGACGGTATGGTGAACTTCGATAATCATCTCCAGGAATGCCAACTGGTGGCTTTCCTTTCCATGTTGAGTGAAGTGGTGTGTAAGACGTGCAGAGTTTCTGAGACTTTCCACATACCTTACGCAGACCTTCAGCACCGAAGTGGTGTTCACAGCATTCTTAACTCCCCCCAAGGCTATCAATCGCCAGGCTCTCTCCCCAAACATTCGGCTGACGCATCATACCTGCCCTATCAAGATCTCAGAACCCTGCCCAGCGTAGCTGAAGTGGAAAAACGACCAGCTGCTGACCTTTCCATTGTGCGTCCTGGCCGCATTCCGAGCCAATCTGAAGCGGCGTCGGATAAGTCGGTGTGTCAGCTCATCCTATCAAAATCACATACGCTAATGCGGCTAGAATTGACTCGGGCGAGAGGATGGCAAGCCAATTGTAGCCTTTTCACTGCAACTTTAACTCACCCAAAGGACGTCTCTCACACTGATCTTAGCTAACAGCAGCCACCTCGAAGCACATTGCACATTGAACCCTTGGAGGATCCCGCTAATGCGAAATCCGGCAACCCCTTGCCTTGCAAGCCTCGTTCAACATGTTCTGTATGGTCGCCAGGTTCAAGGATCTCACTTCACAGCAATTTAGTCCTCCCCAAAGGACATCTCTCTCGCACGCTGAGAGGAAAGTCGCAAATGCGCAAGTGCATGTCACGTGGTCTGCGGTCACGTATAGAACACATTCGCCGATCTCGGATTTCTGAGGTGAATGGTCACAGTTTGTATTCTGGTAGTATTCTCAACTAACTTGAGGTAGAAGATGCTGAATCAGCGAGCTACCGTAGGTGTCCGCTCGATAGTCGAGTCTCGGCGACATCGCTCTCCAATCCTCTTCTCCATATTGACAGAGCTTGCTTACAACACCAATACCACCGATGTTGGTTGGCATTGATGTGACCCCACGAAACTCTCGTGGCCGATAGCCGCGGGGCGCATCTTTCCCCATCCCTTGTGAATCCGTTCGACTCGGGCACTTAGCCGGGCCCGTTGCCGTGCTGCGGCTGCCTGTGAAGTCGAGGTGCTGCTCCTCCATCACTTAGCCTCCCTCCCGAAGTGAGCTCGTGCCTGAATCCCTTTGGCGGCTAAATGTTTCCATGTTTGCGGCCGGGTGGTGGTCCATAGTTGAAGCCCATCCTGTATCTTCGTTTCGTTGCCTGGAGCTCTCGCGCCTCAGGCTCTCGTATCGTCGTTCAATCGTTCTTTCATGACCTTCCCTTGGGGTGTGATGTGGGATAAGTCGTGGGTATCTTGTAGTAATTCGAGGCTGGATTCTTCGCTCGCTGGTAGTGGTGTTTGTATGTTTGGGTCTCGTTGCCCGTCTGTCTAGTCTTTCGTTCTTGGATCTGGTTGTCTTTCGAATCGATTCATCGTTCTTCGTAGGTAGGATGATGACCGTCGGTCACTCGGGATGGCACACTTGGATGGCAAGCGAGCGCAATGCGATAAAATGGTATATTCAAAACAGCCCCCGACTCCATAGATGCAATATATGCAGGCGCGATATCTTTCGCCCAAAAGGTATATGTTCTTCGTCCCCACTGGTAGGAGGGATAGATAGATCTCGAATATAGACAGCAGCAACAAAAAGATAAGGGTATAGAATCTCGCAGTATCCGTAATGCGGCCTCAGTTCGTCTTCTGCTTCGGCGCACCCTTGAACTTGCGCGTAATCGCGACACCAGCGACGCCAGCAACCATGAGGGCCTCGACGCTGAGCAGACCGACCCAGATGATGTTGAGGATCTGCTCCTCGTAGCCGCTGCCAATGTACATTGTCATCTTGTCGTAGAGCATGGGATAGGCGCCGGTGACGAAGAGGAAGACTTGGGTGACGTAGAAGGTGTACCAGTAGGGACTGCGAATGGGGACAGGTCAGCAACAAGAAAAGAGGTCACGAACGTATGGTTTGGTGTGGTTCCATGGCGTTGGTCTTATAAAAAGGTTGAGGTGGGTGCTAGATGAATGGGCTGGACCGCTGTGGTACTACCACGGTACCACCCCCACCCTCAGCTGCCTTGGAAAAATGAAATGTGGACGGGCAAAACAAGTTAAGGTAACCTTGGAGCTAGCGCGTTTGCGATCGTCCGTGGATTCGTGGAACCGTCCGTTCAATGAGTTTGTGGTGTAAGGTGTTGGATCTTTGTCCCCAAAAATAAAAGGGAAATGATTAAATTGCGGGGATTTTCTTCTTTGAAACCTTGTCGCATGGAAGAACCAGGTGGCGCTGATGGTGGGATTTTGGGGGGTCCTTGGGGCCCTTGGGCAAGCCTTGCAGATGCAGATTGGCGCTTGCCGCCTGCCGGGTTTCCTGCGCACGGAAGTTTGAAAGTCAAAGAGACAAGGGAGAGGGGAGATTTTGCAATGCGCATTGAAACGATAGGTGCAAAGAGTAGACGGGAAGAAGAAGCAAGCAAGCAAGGAGGCGAAAGTCAGGGAGGGATGGATTGGAGGGTTTGATTGAGTTTGACGCTCATCATTCATAGTTCAGACGGAAGGGAGTTCAGATAGATGTCTGGAACTATGCCGCCTCGTTGACAAGACGGCGATGGCAGGGAGTATCCGTAGACGAGAGAAAGACAGAGACCAAAAGCAAAGAGACATGAACTCACCGACTCTGTTCCGTCAAGCGCGTCCAGCGAATGCGCAAATGATCCGGTTCCCCAGCCTGCGACGCCTGGACCGCGAGAATGATGCCAGAGAGGCAGAAGGAGAACAGGAACATCATACGCTGGAATAGCGTGACGTGGGAGTTGAACTCGAGCAGGGTGTGAAGGAAGGCGAACATGATGGGCTGCAGGTTTTTCGATGCCGTTGACGTAGCGGTGAGACCTGACGTGGTTCTCTTTGCTGCAGAAATGCAGGGTAAAAGAGGGCGAAAGAAAAGTAGAGAGGTGGGAAGTCTGGACTCTGGAGAGCGTAGGTGCAGTAGTGTGCTGTTTGGAGGCGGATACTCGCGCAGCAGCGGTTGTTGCGGTGTGACTGACGACGATTGACGAACGGAGGGCAAAAGATGAGGTGTTGCTGCGACTCTGTGAGTGCCACTTCCCGGGCCACGAGGGCGCGAAAGAGGGCGAGATGGGGGGCTGGGAGCGATGATCAGGTGGCCGGGGGGTCCGGGGAGAGTCGAGACTCTCACGCGAGGAGGGGCAAAGCGTTGAAGCGACAGCGGTTGGTATTGGGGCCCTGGTTTCCGGTGCTGCGATAGTGTGACTCGAGTCTGATTATGTTTTGGTTGTGGGTGATTGCGATTAATGCGCGTGTGCTGCGAGTAAACGCTATTCAATATCCGTACGAAAGTTTGTAGGAGAATGTCTTGGTGCCACGAGGGGGAGAAAGCAAGGGACGAGCGGGTGTTTGTCAAAGAGACAAGGCTTGATAATTAAACAAGGTTGCAGTGGATAATAAAGACAAGACGACACTGAACAAGTGGCCACAATTCTTGCGGGAGGAGGAACCAGAGAGACGAGGGACGGAGAGGGAAAGCCGGTGGTTTGTGTGCCCGTTCAATTGGAAGTGTTGGGGTTCCCTGGTGGTGGACAGGAGACAGTACGTACCTACCAGCCAGAGGTAAGAACAAATTTAAACGTGGCCCCACAGCATGTCTTATCGCGCTCCACGTGTCCTTATCGTCGGTCCCAAGTTGGATGGCGCCGCTACCCCCGTCGGTTGGCGGGCCTAGCGAGCCGCCCACTGCCGCTGTGCCGCTGGTCCACTCCTAATTTGGTCCTGGCGCTGTCTGTTTCCGGCCTCAATCACCGCAACGGTCTAGGCTCAATCCACTAATCCACTCTGCTGCTCTTCTTTGAGAAACCAATGGAAGAGAATCGAGACTTCTTGATCGGACCAGACCTGGTGATGGCTGCACATCTAGGCATCGAGTGAGTCGGTGAGCGAGATTGCATTTGCGTACTTTGCGGCACAAGACGACTTGCAACCTCGACACTATTGACACAAGTTATGGAACTCAATTAGGTATTGCAAAATTGTGGATGGTGGAGAGATCCACAGAAGAAGCATCAAGACAAAGACGTTCCATTCTTTACGCATCCCGAAGAAACTGATCCACCGGAACACCCCTCTCAAAGCTATCCCGATAAAACTCATCCAGCTTCAAAATCAATCCATCCTCAATCTCCATACAAACCATCGCCACAAAACACCACTCCGCCCCCGTCGCCGCCTTCCTAGGCAACGATCCCAGAAACGTCCCGTTCATCAGAGACCTAAACACACAAGTCGTCCTCGTTTTTCCATCAACCCCGTCGTTCTTGGCCCACCAAATGGGCGTAGACGGGTCCAGCACCGCCTTAAAGTCGGGAACGGCGTTGCGCCAGACCCGATGGTGGTTGTCCATCCGGGTCACGTGGAGTTGTGAGCCGTGGTCAATGTAGACGCCGTTCGGCGCAAAGAGCTGCGCGAAAGCGGCCGGGTCGTTGCTGGACCAGGCTGCGACCCATCTTTCGGGGAGGGTTTCTTCGCATGTCATGTTTGGCGAGTGTGATGTACTGAAGATTGAGATGGACGGCAGTTGCGGCCAGAGTAGACGGGCCACAGTCTGTCTTATATCTCTTTACGTCTTCCCTTCAGTTCTATTCGTGCTCAAATTTGCCCAGCTACACACGGTCTTCGGCATTTATTGCTGGTCCTATTGCGTTTCCGTGGTTTTGAAAAGCGACCTACTAATAAGTAAGGTAAGGTACCTTAGGCATGTACATACTTGAGGTACTACCACATGTTCGAGTCTTTCCCCAACCGTTAGAGCCGTGAAGAGCACGAAGGTTGACGCTATTCTACTGTGACGGTGTGACTCCTCTCGGCAATCAGCTTATATGACAGACAGAAAGATCTGCTGATTGGCAAGGTAACCCGAAAGGAAGATGCAGTCTTTAGCCGATCGCCCCGGACTCGGCGCTCTTTAGCAGCCGAGACGGCCTTCTAGGCCGAGAGGTCCGTCGGGTCTTCATTACCTTACACGGCAAGAAAAGCCCGTTGATTGTGCAGACTGGGGTGGCCTCGGCTTTCCAAGTTTTGCGACAGTAATCGATACTCTGGAATGCGGCGCTCTCGGAAACTGCTCTGCGGGGTAACCTCCGTACCTTCCGAATTCCAACATTCGAGATACTGCTTTTCGGCTTCCGTTGGATCCACCCATCGGCTCGGAAGTGGGTCGCAATCGGCCTCGATATTTTCAGGAACCTGGAAACCAAAGCAGTGAACGTTGCAGTTCAACCAACAACCAACATGCAGCTTCCCACTCTGAACTTCCAACAACCAACACAGCCCCCAATCACCAAAGTCCCAATTCATTCAATCATATCATGCAACAGTGAATTCGAAACGCATCCTTCCGACAAGGAGGCGGAGATCCACGATGATCAAGCCACGTCAAGCTGGCCGTAGTTGGCCATCGACGCATCGGCGTCCGCTCCAGCAAGCTCACGCTCTTCATTTTGATTAACGACAAGCGGCTGACCGCCTAATCAACCCAGCCATATCTGCGCCTGTTTGCCCCTACTGAATTTTTTGATTAACCGCGTCGAGCATTTAGTCGCCTTCTGCTCTATTCCGAGGAGTCCATCAGTTTGGTGGGGTGGTGGGTCTTCTTGTGCTCTTGCTGAGCCTCCCACCTGCATCGGCGCTTAACCCCCGCCTGTGTTGCATTATTACGACCTCAGGTGGAGGATTGAAGATCTCGAGGCGTTCTCCATGTTAGGCCAATGGATCCACGGCTTGGTCCTGCAGTCCCGCGGCACTGAGCCGTATGGCTCATACATACAAAATGGCGACAACCAGTCAATCCGCCCCGAGACGCAGCTACTTTCCGCGGTAGACGGTTTCTCATTTCTTTCGGCCTCTGCAGGATTCATTGGCTTTGCGACAACAGAGGTCGGCATTGGTATCGAAGAGTTATGAGAAGAATGGAGTACCGCGACGATATTCCGCAAGGGCACTGGAAGAAAAGCCAGAAGCCATACACCATCCGTCGGAAACCTATCTCGCCAAAGACCCTCAGCTACGAACCCATTTACGTTGAGACATCAAATGGTACGGCCAGCAATAATGACATAAATAATGACATATGGAAGCCTCGCCAAGAGACAAACCTCATTGCAAACGCAGAGTCCGAATTTTCAAACACCTCTCGATCCATCAAGCCCTCCTCGAAATCACAGATCAGCACCTCCTACACAGATTCCAATGCTAGTAATGGCTTTTTAAAGGCTACTGAGAATGTTAAAGTCGCTGGTATCGATGAGGAGAGCAATCACAAAGGATGCGTGGCAGCTTCATGGCGCCCGACTTGGCTACGTACACTTGTGCTAGCAATATTTGCCAGCCTCTTCCTCTTCCTTGCCGTGGCGCTGGCTGTCATGCTGTGGTACTCAGCCAACAACAGTGGGCTTTTCGAGAGTCGTCAGAGTCTATTGCATACTTATGTGTGGCGATTTGGGCCGACTGCATGTAAGTAGTGCGCCGTATCTTCGACTCTTAATCTGGAGAATAAAACCCGTTCGACTGTCTAACGTTTTACCGTCCAGTCCTCACGATTTTGACCATTTTCTGGGCTAGAGTTGAGCTGCAAGCTATGATGAATATGCCTTGGATATCTCTACGGTCAGGTCCCTCGCTCGGAGAAAGTGATCTAGCACTCGACTACACCACGATGCTTTTACCTCTTGTTTTCTCCCGGTCATTTCGTCGGAGGCATTATCTTGTTTTCCTGGTGGCTTCCATTTCTGCCTTGCTCAAGGCCCAAATCATCCTTGCCCCTGGATTGTACAGCCTCACGGAACTCCAAGTTACACGCCCTATCGACGTCCTTTTACAAGACACCTTTGATTCGGTGACACCAGAAACTACATACACGCCGGACGCGAGCGTCTACTACAGGGCAAGGGCACAATACGACTTCAACGTCGACTATCCATATGGGGTGGCGGAAGGTTTTGCGTTTCAAACGTTTTACACCGGGAGTAATTTCAGTCGAGGAACTGTCGCCAACCCAGTAGCGGCCACCGTAGATGGGCTTTTCCTAGGAACCCAATGCGTCAAGTTGAACTCCTACGCAATCTTGGAACAGCACAACATCGCCAACTATCAGGGCAGGGGCTTATATATGAACTTTACCGTGGAGCTTCAGTTTGATGGTTGCGAAGAACCATTCATCGTCCCGCATTTCGACGCCTGGCCCTCTCCGAGACTGAATGCCACATTCTGGGGCTTGCAAACGGACTCAAAAGTCGCCCGACCCTGTTCCGGATTACCTTTACAAGCCCCGGCTTTCCTATACTACAATGGGGTATTCAAGCTACAGAGCGATAACTCGTCTGAGTATCTACATCCACCAGCCGCTGTAATCTGCGAGCCTCACGCTTGGTTGTCGAAAGTGCAGGTCACCGACGATGGACTGAAGCCGACAGTGATGGCAGTCTATGATGAGCGACGACCTTTGTCCACGCCAAACATCATGACAATGTTCAACAACTCACTCCCGCCCAAGGACATCTGGCACGCGGATACAGTTTCAGGGTGGACTGGTCCGCTCAGTGTTGATCTGAGGTTCAGGGGTCACGCGACTACCGAGTTCCCAGAGGTTGTGACGACCGACATGTTGCAAGATTCATCCCAGAACATTACACGAAGGCTTGGACCATTCGCTAGCCACTACCACCTTCGACAGAAGCAAAGCTCCGGTGGAAGTGGTACATCGCTGCAGCGTATCGTTCGTCTCACCATAAACCCCAAGATTTGCCTAGCGATGATTGCGCTCTTCATTTTCAACGCCGGCATCACTGCGTTTCTGCTTTGGCGTTATCATCACGACACCTCGGTCTGGCACCGCGATCCGGCAACGCTCCTCGGAAATTCAATGTTTCTCAGTAATCATCCCGACATCACAAACCGGGCTGCAGAAATCAAAGGCCCATTGCCGGACTGGAAAAGTGGCGCCTTTACGCCCCTGGTTTTGAAAACGACATCACGCGTAGTATTCTGCATCTTCACCATACTGCTTGCGAGCAGTCTCATTGTTACCCTCCGACATTCCGAGACATCGGATGGGCTTGCAACCATTGATGGAGACGGTTATTTACACCTAATGTGGACTTCCTTCCCAGCTACCATAGCACTCGGAGTATCCCTCTACATCAGCTCTTGCGATTGGTCATATCGTGACCTCGCGACTCTCTACCATCTCTCTAGAGCCGCGTGTAACTCTTGCGACCTTGACCGCTCTCTGTTGGATATGCTGGGACTACGCGCGCTGTACTACTCTTTCCGTTACCGTCTCTGGTCTGTCACGGTCTCTCAAAGCCTGGCCCTCGTGTGCGGGATACTCACTTCCCTTATCTCCATTATCTTTACAGTCGAAATCATACCCGGGTCGACACCAACTCAATTCCAACAAAAGACTTGGTTTCAAATACGAGACAACGTTGGGTACGAGCTTGACTATACAGCGAAACAAGAAATGTTCAATGGTCTTTGGACCCGTCGGGAGGAAGGCTCTTTGACTTATCCGGAAAACACGTTCGACAATCTCTTGTTCCATGATTTCGAAAGCATCGACACCCTCGACCCATCCAAGAACCTTTCGGTTGCAATCACAACACCAGCGACCAAGGTCGAGTCTCAGTGCACCCAGCTCAGCGAGGATACGTACGACATCAGCCATTATAACACGACCACGACAAACGGAACAGCAGCGTATTACGCCGCCGTAGTTGTCACCTTTTGCGATCCTGGAAACGGCAAACCTAGAAGGATCAAAAAAGACATCGACCTCGGTATAACTGACCCGGCTGATCCGCTGGGAAGCATATACTTTTCAGGCATGCTTCAGACGCAAGCGAACCCAGTCGTGGACGGCTGCATGCTCGAGAGCCAGCTGGCGCACTCAAATTTGACGACGGCTTTGTACCCTACCTATGTTTGGGGAGCGTTTGACCCGGCTCAAAACAACTTCTCCTTTGTCGCCGTTTGGACGTGTAAATACTCTTGGGTCGAAGTCGACGCGGAAACGAATCTGATCTTCTCCGACGGTCGTCTCGCCATCGACCCGGAGAACCCCCCACGGCCAGACATGGCCTCCATGAGGCCCCTGGACCCCACGCTTGATCTGAACACTTGGTTTGCCATGTACCCAGAAGTCGACCTCGGCGGCACAGGAGATCAGTTCAAGGGGGTGGAGGGTCCCTTCCGACCACTGATCAAGCCGTATGGGACGCTGGACATGTCGGCATTCGGAGATGAGGGACAGCAGGCGGACGTGATGCAGGACATATATCACAACTACGCCCTCAGCTCGGCGCAACTCGCCAACGTCATGAACCGTAAATTCATCACCGCCGAAAATGGACCCGCACCGGCCCCGGTTGTGGAGGCGACCGTATATGATAATGGCCGCCGACGGCTCGTACAGAACCCGACCATCACGTATGTTGTGGTAGGTATTCTGGGGGCTGTCATCCTATTCAACATCTGGGCGCTGGTGTCGGCTTTGATCCGGTGCTGCGGCGGCGGGGATAGCTGGCTGCTGGATATGGATGCGAGGGGCCTCGCGCCGGACGGGTTCCACAGCATCGCCTCGGCAGCCAGCTTGCTCCAGAACTCCAACGTGGCGACTCATCTGCCGCCTGGATCTGAGATGATGTCGTCGGATGAGGTACACGGGCATATGCACGGTTTGGACCTCCGGTTGGGGTGGTTCAGGAGGGAGTGCGACCAGACGAGGCACTATACGGTTGGTGTCATGGGCGATCCAGCGTTTAATTACATGGGCGTCAGAAGGAGTTCAAAGAGGGCTTCGGCAGGGTCTTTCGAAAGGAAAGCGCGCTTGGATGATGACGAAGTATGAGTCTTCCATGAACGATGAGTGTATGGGGGAGAGGGATATCGTCGCCGGAATCTTCATGTAAAAATATCTTGATAGATTCAAGACTCATCCTCAAATATAGAATAATGAATACTCGCAGACACCGCAAAATTCGGCATATCCACGATCTCCGCAATCTTCAAATCAGCCGCAATGCTGCACAGCATATACGCCTCCTCCCTCTCAAGCCCCCTCTCCGCGACAAGATACGCAATCAAACTCCTCAACGCCTTCCTACTCGCCTCCAACAAATCAGAATCAATCCCCAGCACCGCATACACGCCACCCTCATCCTCCCCCTTATGGCCGCGAGCATGCACCGACCCGCGTGTGTCATAGTGCGGACTCGTCACATACGGCATATCCTCCCGGACCGTAAACCGCAATGTAGCTTTCATCGGCGTCTCGATCGCCGTGCCGCACACTTCCCCGTCTCCTTGCGCGGCATGCCCATCCCCACATGAGAAATTCGCCCCCGGGACGCGGATGGGGAGGTAGAGTCTCGTTCCGGCCGTGATGTGTCTGCAATCTATATTCCCGCCCGTCTCCAGCGGCGGAATCGTCGGGAACGGACCTGCTTCAGCTGGCGCCACGCCCGCTATCCCCAGAAACGGACGCAGCGGGATCTTGATGCCTGGTTTAAATACAATGTGCGTCGCGTCCTCGTCCCAGTGGAAGTGCTTAATGACATGATTTGGAAAGTCGTCTGCGAGGAGTCCAAAGCCGGGGAGGATTGCGGTCCAGCCCCAGCCCGTAGAGGGTTTGAGGGAGAGGAATTCGATTTCGAGGACGGAGCCTGGGTGTGCGGCGGTGATGGCGACGGGGCCGTGGATCGGGTCAAAGGTTGCGAGGTTTAGGGTCGCGAGGGAGGTTGGTGTTGTGGAGGGGGTGATTTGGCCGCCGGAGGAGTCGTGGAGGTCAAAGGTTACGGGCTGGTTTTGGGGAACGGTGAGGAGGGAAGGGGTTTTGCTTGACCAGTGGAGGGTTGGGTTTGCGGATGTGATATGGAAGGAGGGCGCCATTTTCTTGGGGTGGGGGCTGTGAGGAGTGTGGTTTGTAGAAATCGTGTCGGAGATGTTTGAGTGAGTTTTGATGGTTTTGTGAGGCTTGTCTTGTTGTCGGTGAGATGAGGAACGAGGTCCTCCGGGGGAGAGAACGGAGGTTGATGGCGGGTGGGGTTGCTTATCGGCGGTCGGATGCGGGGTTTCGGGGTTTGAGGGATGAGTGACGTACCTTTATCCCGGCACGGAGCGGGTCCGGTATACGTATCTACCGAGTCTCCGGTAGGTGATCGGGGTTTATCTTCCTGGTAAGGCTGATGAGGGATCTCTAGCCTGGTATTCAGGACCTCTTCGTTTCTGTCATGGCATCAACCATATCAGGTAACTGTTGGAGTGGCAGTCATCAGGTTCATGCATCATTGACGGGGGGGACAGCTGTGTGCTCCATGAACGGAACATGGCCCATGATCGTGACATCGTATTCCAGTCGCTTCGTCATTAACTGTTGAGTTGTCGGCACAACTCGACATACATACACTCTATCTCTCCTTTTAATCACCTTTTGCATTACCCAAGGCCCGTCCCTGGACCCCCAAGGCCGCTCAAATCACAAAATCTCAACAGGCCCAAAAACATTCCAAGAATCCTGACTCCCGACCATGCCCTCAACACTCAACCCCTTCGCCCGCTCCGCCAGCAAGCCACCGCCCAGAATCCCAGCAACCTGCCTCGACAAAGTCGACTTACGCCCCAAATACCACAACGCCTTGACACAATCCTCACACCGATCCAACGCCTCCGCCACAACCTCATCCCCAACACCTAACCCACCACCACCACCCGCCTCCTCAAGCAACAACGTCCCCGCCATTGCAAACGACCGAATCAACACCATAGTCCACGGCTCCGTAAGCAAAGCCCCCTCCTTCACGGCCGGATGAAAATTCAACAACACACCCAACCCGCCCACGTCATGCTGCGGCGTAGCCGCCCTCGCGAGATCCGACACCTCCCGCACGCTCGCCCTCCTCAAATCCCCGACCAACCCGCTCGCCACCCTCTCCGCGGCCCTTGTCGCGCTGCCCAGGCCCTGCTCATCCACGAGCGCGATGCAATCCGCCATCATCATCGCCGCGAGAAGCCAGTGACCCAGCAGACAAATGTACCAGCTCTGGATCTTGGAGGGGATCGCGTCGTGGTGCTCGATGCAGTCCCGGAACAGGGGGCCGTACATCATGTTCCAGTGGCGGTAGACCGCCAGCCCGTCTTGGATTGCGTCCTCGATGGACTTTGGGGACGCGGAGCCGCGGGACGAGAGGGCTTGGATGCGTGTGATTTTGCGGAAGAGGAGGACTTTAACGGGGGCTGCGTCGCGGAGTTCGCGCTCGAATGTGTCGGTGGGGCAGGGCCAGCGTAGGGGGGCGAGTTTTTGGTTGCGTTTGATGATGAATTGGTCGTTCCAGCTTTCTGGGGAAGAGAACGCTACCGGGATGGTGTCGTCGTCTTCGTCTTTGCAGGGCGGTGAGTCTTGCTTCTTTGCTGTTGCTGTCTCGCGGCTGTCTTCGTCTGAGACGACGGGCGGTCTGTCGGAGATGGCGGAGGATAGGGTGTCGAACATGATGGCGAGCCAAAAGAGCATCTTCATCGTCGCTTTTTCTTCGCCGTGAGCATCTTCTCCGCCACCGACAGCCCATCCTGATTCGGTCCTCGCGTTGGCGGTCCCACGCGCTTTTACTTTCTTCCTCCTCTCAAAGTTTTCAGACCTGCGCTTGAGAACGTGCAGGCGCCGGGCGCCGCGCTCGACGTAGAGCGAGTACCCTTCCTCGTCCAGCGCCGTCTGCACCTTTTCCTTTGTCCCCGGCGTCTCCCAGTCGTTCCCGTCTCCGTTGGTGTAATCGTACCCCAGCTGACTCTGACCAACCATCCCTTCGCTAAACTCCCACCCGACCCCCTCCGCGCTCTCATGGTTCTTCTGCGTAAGGCCAAAAAGGAGCTCCGCCATGGCCACCTTGAACGAATCCACGCCCGCACAGTCGTCCAGACACCGCTGCGCCTGGTTCCAAAATGATATCTGCAGCGCCGTGTCGAATTCCTGTTCGGTCCCCGGCACGGACGAGTCCCCAAAGCCGTTTGGCTTCTGGTACCGCGCTTGACTCCGTTGACTTCCCTGTGCCCACTGCGCCGTGAATGCCATGATGGCGAGATGTAGCGCTTTCGTGGCCTTTCGGTCTTCGGATACGCTGAGCGGTTTCAGACCCAGCGAGGCGAGGGATTTATCTAGCTTGAAGACGCGGCGGTAAATCCTGTTGGGCAGATTGAGATGAATCTGCGTCGGGTCGTGACCTCGCGCGTCGCCGAGACTCGAGCGCTCCAGCTGTGTGGGGGTTAGGATGTAGGGACAGTTCTGCTCCACCAGCCAGCACGAGAGCGCGCCCTCCATGACGTCGTGGTACAGCTTCATAAGGTTATCCGTCATGAGCGTCTGATTCGTCCGCGCAATCATCGCCTGCGTGGCCGAGTACTCTGAGATCCCAGCACCGCCAGGTGGCGCATAGTTCATGGCGTGCGCCTGCTGCCACGCCCTCTTGCGGGCATTCGGGTCGATGCCCATGGTTGAACAAGTCGAGTCCGGACTGAGACTGATGGTCGAGGCGCCGTGCATGGAGACGAGATCGGCGTCGTCGAAGCCTGGCAACTCATCTGAGAGACAGCTGGGCGCTGAGAGGGATGAGGGGCCCGGGAAGAGGAGCGAGGCGGCGTCGTCGGCGGATGGGTCGAAGGTGAGGTGCTCGTCGGCGGGGGATAGCGTGAATAGGTTTTGGGGAAATCCAAAGTCGTTTGCTACTGCTGCTGCTGCTGCTGCTCCGCCAAAGGCATGTGAGCTTGGCGTCTCGTGGGTGAATGATGCGACATGATCCGGGATGAGTGACTGAAGCTCGGCGAGTTGGGCCTCACTCAGACCTGATGGACCTTGGGATACTGGCGATACAGAGGCTTTGTTGCTGTTGCTGCTGTCGTTGTTGACCTTCTTGCAGTGAGTTGACTTGACCCTCTTCCGACTCGGCGCGGCGGAAGCGGAGGCGGAGCCGGCAGCGGCAGCAGCAGCGGTCTTCTCGGCGGACTGCCTTCGGACCCGGAGCTGGGCCTGCTGTGACCGGGCCCAGTTGAATGTGCACGACTTGCGCGTCTTTGAACAGTTTGAGCACGGCCCCTTCATGCTCTGCCAGTCTGTTCATCAAGAAATTAGTCCCGGGGTTGAAGACAGAGTGTTTCGTTGTCTCATTGCTCAATTCACTCTGTGCTACCTACCAACCTCCCATTGAAGGTCTGCATCCAGACACAGCTGGATATCCTTGAGGGCGCCCGCGTCGCAGGCCCTCTTGCCCTTGCGACATTGGTCGCAGCTGCTATTCTGCCGCCTCATCGCATTCGCGTATCGTCGGTTATCGTGATGCTTCTCACACTGCTCGGTGGGTATGTGTCAAGGTGAGGTGAGATGAGATTTCAATGTGGAGGTTGAGCCAGGTTGTGAGGCGGAGATTCGAGACAATCGAAGCTGAAAAAGAAGGGGTGGGTGTGGTCCTCCAGTTGTCTCCAGTTTCTTTTTGCCCCCCTCAAGGCCCCAACAAAGAAAAATCCCCGCTAGTTCCAAAACTCGTGACCAGTCAAATCCCCCGGCCATCCGAAACGACGTCGTCACGGGGAGGTCCCTGTCGCCAAAACCCCGCGTTTTTTCCCCTTCTCTCACCTTTTCTTAGACTCTAGCGTTGCCTGCGTCAGCAAGGGAAAAGAAAGCGGGGTGCATGCGGTGAGTTTGCCAGTTGGTTCATGTTTCCCCCCGCAGATCCTCTTCTTCTTCTGCGAGGAGATTCCGTCTCTGGTGTGTGCCGGTTGCCAAGTCCGGTGTTGGCTGGTCTGGGGGAACCAGGGTTGGGATGGGATCCGGGGAAAAGAATGGGAGGGGGCTTCCCCATCCTCCGGAAGCGAGAGCTGTCAACCCCGGATTCCATTGCTTTCGGTGAACCTTACGAGGCACAGGTTCAAGGGATCCAACGGTTTGGTAAGACGTTCTTGAAGCTTACCATGTTGTTGGCTGCATTCTTCAACCGTCAGGACGTTCCTTTTGGGAAAATCAGCCCACTTTGAGGTCGTCTTGCAGTTGCATCCTACCTAGGCACCTGGGTAAACCAATGGCGAGCTGGACATCCCTCATGCACTGAGTCTCTGGCAATGGAATTGGTTCAAGACCTTCTCACATATTACTAGCTTCATTCTGATGAAAGGGGGCCAATAGGAAATCGTCCATACATGGAAATCTGTTTCCGAAAATTCCGACGAGAAACAAGCCTCATCAGTAGGAAAACGACACGAACCCGCGAAAACACAGTGTTCAAAATGAGATCCTGAGAATCGTTCATCATCATAGACATCACGCACTCAGCCCCTTATACACAGCAGCCTCAACCTGCGCCCAGAGCCCCATGACCGAAGCGTCGCCAAACGGCAGAATCTGCGAGCACACGATCCCGGCCACCCCGTTCTCCCGGTCGCACCACCAGAACAGGTTCGGCAGCCCAGCCCACCACGCCGTCCCGCTCGAGCGCCCCGTCGGCCCGCCCGTGATCATGAACGTCAGGCCCCAGCCCTGCGGCGGGTTGCCCGGGATCGGGTAGAGCTCCGGGATCCCGTTGGTCAGCTCCGGTTTCGCAGCCTGAACGCCCTGCCGGGCAAAGTCTGGGAACTTTGAGACTTGGTTGGAGAACATTTCGTCTACCGTCTCCTTTTTGAGAATTTGGGCTTTTGTGATGGGACAGGTTCCGTCGTTGAGGAAGACTGCCAGGATGCCTACGAAGATCTTTAGCTAGTCATCCAACAGTTGAGCATGAGCAAAGAGGGACAAAGTACATACGGGTGTATTCTTGAGGCTTTGCGAAAATGCCGGCGCCGCCGCTGTTGAAGCAGGCGCGGATCTCCTCCTCTGACTGCACGATCAACGGGCGATGGAGAGGGTGGTCTCTGTGGACCAACTTGCCGTCGGGCCGCTTGTAGTGCATGTACGCCAACTGCGCCTTCATCGAGGGCGTCGGGATCATGTTGACGTTCTTGAGGCCCAAAGGCTGGCAGATGTTGGCCTGGATGTAGTCATTCAGACTCATGTTCGTGGCCCGCTCCAGGGCGATGCCAGCCCAGTCAATGCCGACCTACAATTTCGAGTTAGAGGCCATCGTCTCAACAGTTGTTACTTCACTTACGCCATACTCCCAGCCTTCACCCGGCTGGAACAACAAAGGCTGCACCATATCCCTCACACTCCCCGAGAACTCATCAATCCCCGCCGGCAGACTCCAATCGCGCAGCCGCTCGCTGAAGAAAGTATACCCGAACCCAGCCGTGTGCGTCAGCAGCATGCGGAGCGTGATGCCGCGCTTCTTGTCAACGAGCTTGCCCTCGGGCGTCAGGACCTTTATGTCGGCCAGCTCCGGGCAGAGCTTCTCCAGGTGGTCCGCGTCGTCGAGGCTCAGCTGGCCCTTCTCGACGAGCTGCATGCACGCGATGCCGACCACCATTTTCGTGCACGAGGCGATCCAGTACACGCTGTCCAGGGTCATGGGCTCCGAAGAGTCGACGCCCCGGGTGCCGGCGGCATGGGCGAATTGTTCGGTGCCGGTGCGGTCGATGACCACTACGGTTGTTCCGGGGATGCCGGTGGGGGAGGTTGTGACGGCATTGTCTACGATGCCTTTGATTTCGTTGACTGCTTGTGATGAGAGAGGCATTTTTGAGTGTGAGAGTATGTAAGTTTGCTATGGTGTGAGTGAGATGGCGTGTGAAGATAAATGAGATGAACGGCTAAAGTGAGGAAGGAGGGGTGTGAGTGAGTGAGTTCAGATTTCACAGCAGACACACAAGAAGATCACAGAGATGATCAATTCGGCCGAGC